TTAAAGCAGATGCACTGAGATATACACACTCCACCATAGCCAATATGTCATTGTACAACTGAACTTCAGAACCAATCATTTCCTTAATAAACAAAAGCCACCTTTTCCTCATTTCAAAAGAAATAAGGAATATGTTTTACATTAAAAACAACTAATATAGCTTTTGTATTTATCATCGTATTTACAACTTGGATAAGCTGAAATATGACCATAAATTTACTTCATAAGTTGTTCTATCCAACTTACGTGAATTAACAAGTCTTACACTTTCAGCTAACAGCTCACACTCACCTTCCATTCCTAAAGGGATGGAGGGACGGATATATCATGGAAGCCACACATAACAGAATACCCCAGAGGGAATTTATTAGAATAAACCTTTTGAAACACTCCTGAAACATTTAGACATTTGTAATATAGAAATAACTTCTGATTTCAGGCCCAATTGTAACTTCCTCCCATCACTGCCATGATTTTACCATATGACTCAGCAGTACAATTTAAGAAGAAAGAGCTTAACAGTTTCTCCAATGAAGAGGAGAGCTGGTCAACAGGTCAAGGCATTCAGTCCTACAGAGCTAATTGGTCAATCAATTGATTTGAAATACTAGTATCTCCCCAACATTATATAACCAATGAGAAAAATGGGTTAAATCAGGAGACAGAATCCTGGCATACAGGGAAGTAATGGAAATCCTGGGAGAATTACAGCATGAAGAGAAATGTTGCAAAACCCTTGCAGCTTGAAGAGTAAAAGTGTTCCTGGCAGTAGCTTTTTTGCTACCTTCTGTAAGACAAAATCGTGAGTCACAGTTGGCCCAAATATTCTTAAATTGCTGCTAATAAAGACACTGCCATGATAATTCAGAGAAAAAGTTCACCTCTAACTGTTTCTAAGTACCACTTTTTATTACCTGCTATTTACAAAATGGCAGGCAGCCAATAAAATTCTCGGTAGAACTCTATATCCTCATGTTGCTTGCAAGTCATCTTATTTTCTATCTCTGAATAGCACAATGCATTGTCAAATTAGTTTCTCCCTTGCTTCATCTGGCAATTTATTATATCAATCTTCTTAAATGTTTAAAATTAACGTAAAAATCCCTATTCGGATTACTTTAAATAAAATGTAAGCATATACAGCACTGTTTCAAAATAATGGAATTATCCACATAACTATTTTCAATAGCTAAGGCTGGAACAAAAGCAGATTGAATGCAGAATATACTCAAAAATTATATACAGTCAGGTGAAACATTAGAGATGTATCTTCCCTCTTTCAACACTATACAAAAAAAAGTGACAAAATAATACATTAAATAATACTTTACTTAAATAATACATTAAATAATAATACATTAAACTTACAGGGATATGCTCAATAAAGAAGGTTGATTTATTAAAGGTAAGCAACACCATTGCCATATGACAGCTTTTGATTTACATTTCTTTTAATTCACAGCTGGCAATGAAGTCTGTCATTTCCCCTTTGGTCCAGGTCATAACGGATATAGATTTTAGATGGTGTGGGATGAAAAACACCACTACACTGTTGTCTAATCCCCCACTGTTGTCTAATTCTCCCGTGAGAATATAAAACAAAACTGCAACTGATATATAATGTCCCAATGATTAAGAGAGATTCTGTAGAGCAGATAGATAAAGGCGAAAAATGTACACTGGAAGTAAGAGCTCGTGAGATTGAGGGGCTTGCTGACCTACTACAGGTCTCTAAAAAGGACTCAAAGGCAAAGATTCCTCAGAAAGACTAAACAATTTCTTAAGCTTCAGGGTATACTGAAGAATTATTTACCCAAGACATACACTTTTGAGGTGAACAGGAAAATACTGTCAGGTTGCATATCAATAGAGGACAGGCTGGAACCAGTTGATCATTAGAACAGCAAGTCAGCAGCACCAGATGGTTATATTCAGATTTCAATACAGCTGAAAGTTATAATGACTGCATTTTAGCAATTCAGACACCTGATTCTTGACAGCCAGGGGGCAGAAAACAGTACCAGAAGCACTAGAGATGATTTGGGAATCACAGACACAAAAACTTTATTTCCAGTTTAGGATTTCATACAAATTATGTCCCAATGAAATATACTTGAATGCAGCTTCCCTCCACATAACCCAAAATGGCACTTGGTTAATTACAGCACCAGAATGTGCTATAATCTCTGAGACTGACTCATTGTATCAACAAGTCATAGTTGTCACTGAGCTGCAAGACAAACACATTGTTACTGCAGTTACAGAAACTGTAGTTCCTCCTGTAACAACCAAGGACAAACTATCTTGTGTATCTTGTGCTGTAAGAGAAAAATTGTTTTCATTTCATTTAATCCCGAGATACAGATATATATACATGCAAGCATACAGGTATACACCTATTACTTCTTATGATGTGTATGAAGGAAACAGGATATTACACAGAAAGGTTGTATATCTTTTCAAGTACTTCTACCTTTAGATTACATTCTGCAATAAAAAACACTGTCAAATAATATTTTATGCAAACAGGGATTCTACTGCAAGTTATTTTATGAATTTCTGGACTGAAAAAATATGCAGTGAATGAAATCTACCTATATTCAGAGTGTCTTTCCATCACCTAATTCCTATCCTAAAGAAAAACAAAAACATGAGACCAGCAAAGGTTTCTGCATTCTGCTTGCAAACCTATGTATATGCTTTATTAATAATCAATTTAAGTGCATAATACATTGACGTAAAACAACTTGAGAATATACAGTTTGCCACTGAATCTTGCAGTTTTCCTTCTTTGTTCTTAAAGAGGATCAGACTCTCATGAATACGCTTCAACGAAACAGTGTGCACCTTACAGTGTGTCAAGGAGCACTGACTTGTTGGGTACTTGTACAAGCAATAAATTTCAGATGCAAAAACTTAAGCAGAAATCTAAGACAAAGTTGATACTCACCATACTGCATTTAACTGAACACATTTTGAATTAATTTTAATACCAGTACTTTAGCTTAACATCACTATCACTACAATATATGGAGGGTGCCTTAAAGGAGTCATGAATCAATCTTCAAAACTTCTGGCAGGCCAAAGGACTTCCTTACAAACCACCTGATACCAATTAAGTGGCAGAAAGCTTATTTTACATAAAAAACTTTTCCCCCCCCATTTTCTCTATGTCAGAAGCTTGGCCTATTTTGAAGCTGTTTACCTTGAATCTATTTTACTATTACATTATTACACATGACATATACAGCAAAGACTAATCCATAACTGTGCATGCTCAAAACTATATTCTGGAAAAATAAACTTAACCATTGACTGGTGGGTAAGACAGCAAATTGAAAATGAGTGTGTTTTATGTACAAACTCAAAGTCTCTTAAAGACTTTGTCCAGAACCTTGCACCTGGTAGATATCTGAAAAACTACAATCATATGATCTGTCAATGAAGATTATGTTAACAGGACTATTCTCTGTATAAAACATATTGTACCACATTGTGTACCAGTGTCCTACTTGCAGGTGAATGTAGCCTCTTTCAGTAAAAGTTAGAGTAATCATACGTGAGTCTTAGTTAGGCTGTTTTTTGCCATTAATTAAAAAGCAACATGAATTAATGCTATATGAAATTAATACTATGAAAGGAGAATCTATGAAAAGTAAAAGTAGATGCCACCCTAGTGCTCGGTGTTTTTTCAAGTGGAAACTTCATTTCACAAGTTGCAGTTCAGAAAAACAAGCAAGAACCTTTTACTCTGCTAGATAGTGCTATACTCCTAATTGCAAAAGGAACTAAATATTACAGTGAAGCTACATAATTTTGCTGAGCTTGCATAATTAGGTCTGTAAATCAACAATGCTTTCACTGTTGAGTATTTCTCCTGCCTAATCACTACAACTAACTTTACAGAAATATTCTGAAATACTCTCTATATACCTTTTGCTACAGACAATGGCTTTGTATTCCCCTTTTCTGTTATTCAGTCAGATTCAAACACAATTCAGTACTGGCAGAAATCCGTGTCTAGAGTATTATATCCCTAATAAAGAGCCAAGGAGAAGAAGGAAGAAAGCAGAGGCAAGCACAATGATGAGTGTGTGTTTGTGTAACTGAAGGCATGGATGCAAAAATTCAGAGCCCTGCCTTACACAATCCACCTCAGATAGTATTTCAATGTCTATAAAACAGTCGGTTGTTATATTTAAATATTGTGCAGTAATGAACTTAGTAACCTCTGAAAGTGAGAACAGTCACCTTGTGTGCTTTAGGTTTGTTACCACTTGGTTTGGTTCTATTTCAAAATATAGTAAAAAATTGCTGAACAAACCTGATTTTCCTGCCAAATTCATTTTTCGTCTGGCTTGATGTACTATATCTTGACTGTATTTCTACAAAGCTCGCTGTTATTACAGGTGGTTATTACCCAAAACTAAAACCATTCTCCTCTGAGAATCAATATAAAATTTTAAGCTAGCTTTGGAATATTTCCCTTTATCTTGTTATAGATTTTTTCTCCAGGTGCACTTCTTGGAGTTTTTTCTACTGAAAAGAAACTTGATGGCACGTTGCTGTCTGAAACCAGTATCAAATTTCAAAGTAACAGGTAACAACTTCGGGAGCTGAGAGAAAAAAATCCTTAGGACAACTGCATGAATCCCCAAAATGATACAGAGCATAAGAAAATACTGCAGAACATTTTAACACATAGATGGTAACCTGCATGTACAAACATGGATAGAGGAAAGAGGGAAAACTACACGAATCATTTTTCCACAGGAGTTCTGACAGGATAACTGTGCAATCTATCTGCATTTCTGTACAGTGAAGAGAAGTTACAGGTCTTACTTTAACCAGTGAGCTACTATTTCAGGTGCAGATTTGTCACTTTTGCCATTTCTATGTTGCTAACAAAGCCGTATTTCTAAACAAGAATACTTGTGAATTTCTAAGTTTGGTGAGAAAATATATTATACGTAAGTACTTACTATCCAGAGAAATCATACCTGCTACCAAGGATTGGCTCCCCAGAGGGTCCCAAAGCAGAATAGTCCATGCCATAGAAATTCAGCCCTAGAAGTATTTTATTCCTCCATTTTGAATCAGGATCCAGTACTTGAACACAGGCTCGTACCCAGGGAAGGGGGGAATTTGGACCAGGTCTGTCAAGTTAGCAAAAATCAAACAGGTTGTCAGAAGAAGTACATGTTCACTCTCAGCCTTCTCTTTTGACTTGTGCAATTGTAAAAAAGCAAATTATGGCACACAAAAACCAGTAAAGATGAGCCTACAATCCTAAGAAGGTTAAATGTACATTCTTCAGTGGCTTGAAGTGCTGAGGCACAAAACATGCTTGCCCCACTCTTGACTTTGTCATTGAATTCCAAGGTTCAAGGGCACAAAACTCCTTACAGTGGATAAGAAGAGGTTTCCCCCCAGCACATTTTCTCTGTCACAGGGCCTTGCACAATGCCTACACTATAATTCAAAACTCTGTATGACTTCAGTTGTTTTCCAATACCATTCTTATCCTCAGTGTTTTCACTGTCAACTAGCAAAACATACTGGGACAAAATCCACTATTTACTTACAGAAAGAACTGTATAATTATGACTGGTAAGCAAGACAGGTTTCAATGATAGTTTAACACTTACTTATGGAAAAAACCCTAAAAAGGCAATAACTTAACAAAAAGCTACATTAAGAAAAAGAGTATAGCCTTAATACACAGAGTAATTTAATTGTTATATATATAACAGAATATTGCACTCATTTCATTTCTATCTCTTTGGAGAGGAGACCAGGTTTTCCCTCAAACACTCGCTAACATGATAAAAGGCACTCACTAACATGATAAAAGGAGAAGTATAGACTTACAAATATCAGTATCTACTCCCTACTAATTATCTGCCTCAAAGCCTTCATAATATCTGTGCCATTAAAACCCAATATGCTAATACAGCAGAGGAATGTTGCTGGAAATCATGTTCATGTTTAAAGGCAGATGAACTATCAATTGTGCTTTAAAGCTAATTTGTTCAACAATGATATGTTGTAGATTATTCGTGTACCTATCCTGCAGAACTGTGCTAAATAACTCAAAACAAAAGAACCTGGCTTGGAAAAGAATAAGTGTCAGGTTATCCTTTTAAAAGGATAACTTTTTAGCTCGAGTACAAAGTCTTCCATAATATCCAAACCCCAAAAATACATTGCTGTTAAAAATGTACTGAGTTATGGGCTTGTTCACAAGTCACCTACCCCAACTACTAATCTAGAACTTTAGTATGTGGTACAGTCAAAACACACTGTCCACTCTACTAGAAAAAATTAACTCATACTGTAGATTTAATAATGACTTAACAATTCCTTCAACAATCTTTCAAATGTTAGATGAAGCCTTACCGATGTGGTGCTGAATAGTCATATGTCATGAGACTGAAGCTGTCTACTGCTGAGGCCAACTGATCGAATTCCTTCTTCGTGAACATTCCCGGCTGGTTAGTCCTTCCGAAACAAAGCAAAACAGAAACAAGAGGAAGAGATAAATTACTACAATAACCTGACTTACTCTCTCCTTTGGGTTTCATACAATTTGATCACATAAGAAAAATCTTTCATTCTGAGGTGGTAAAACAAAAAAAAAAGATATTTCAGTGCCATTCTTATAATAAATGTCTAAGAAAAAAAAATAAATTTAATGCTAGGTAGGTTGCCAGTGGGAATAATCATACTGCCACAGCATACTTACCAAATAAGCATTTCTAGCATGGCTACAACACTGATTGTAAGGGCTATGGACTAATCAAATTGCCCTAGGTAGCAATCAATTGAACTCTAAAAGTTTTTACAAAACCTTTAATTGCTTGGCCTGTCAAACTGGTTTTGACACTTACAAAACTAAGTTCTTTGAGGCATACTTAAATAAATGGATGGGTTCAGCTTTTGAGAGAAAAACATAGAGCAAAAATAAATTTTTTATTAATCTCAAAAAGAACAATAATTTCTGTTTATGCTGTACTTAAGAAAGACTATACAAACCTGTTTTCTTTAAACAAAAACAGATCCATTTCTTTCTTTGCAGAGGGGAAAGGGAGGGGAGGAAGAAATCCATTCTATGACCTTCTCTAGACAAAAGTCTAGTAATACCTTCAGCATATTTTTGTATGAAATATGGAAGTATTAAATACTTCCACCTTTCTTTTTGCCTACCCTTGATTTACAAAATGTAGCACTGGATTATTATCCACCTTAGCTTCATGGGTGAGAGAGTGTATATTTTGTCAGTTTTGGACTCATACTGGCTTCCTTCAATCATTCAAGCTGGAAACAATTAATTCACACAAGTTGCCTGAAAACACTGAATCTGTTTCAAAGAGAATCTGTAACTTCAAACTAGTAGCACAAATAGCACAGCAGGGAACATAAGCCAGCCTTAATCACATTGCAAAGATGGGACTGAACTAAAAAGGAAAAGCTGCTGCCAGGAGAACCACGTCCTCAGCCAGAGGGCTCTGAAGCATGTTAACATAAAACAAATAGGTAGAGAAGTAGCATATTGTCCTAAATAATCCAGGAGAGCAGAGTTTATAGGGGGACATTATAAAAGAAAAGAAAAAGTGAAAAAAAGGTTGTTTAACAGGTACAAAGTCTGTAATGCACCTCTGCTATTCAAGAGGCAGACTTACAGGATTGCATAAGATTCCTCTAGAGAGTAGAGCAGAGAGACTGAAGAATCCAGACCTTCCCAATAATATCAGAAACCAACACTTGCTCTAGAAATTAGTAGGCAATCCCTGTCTAGACAAGGTACACTTTTAAACCACTCATATTCCATCTTAAATGTAAAAACTAAAGAGATGCTCAGTGACAGATGCAAGTAATAAACAGATAAATCACATATTTTGACCCTTATCCCTTTTGGATCAGTTTGCAAATTCTGCATCCAACAACATGTGCTGAGTGGATCACCAGAGCATAACAGTGTTCATTTATCAGTTTACAAGGACACTTTTTGTTCCATTGCACTGGAAAAGAGGTGAACAGAATACAGGTTACAAAGTGGGGCCTGTTGTGTTACAAGAGAGCAAAGCATGAATGATATGTGCAAGACAGGTCAATGAACCCGACCAAACATACCCCAGATTATGTAGCCGTAATCTGTATGAAGCATAGCAGTGTTGTGGAAGTCTCAAATTGTCAGAAACAGTGATATACTGGTCCTGTGAAGGAGCAATCCCATTCCTTTCCTTCCAGGCTTTTAACAAATTAAAACAAGTCCTCACTTCTGGAACCTATTGGGTTTTTGTATAGTTATCTGCTTGTCATTTAATGTAATTGCAAACTACAGTTGTTCTACAAGAAGTAGAAAAAAAAAAAATCAAACAAATCTTTGAAACAATGTCATGGCAACTTGGATGTCTGTAGGCAAAGCAATTCCCCAGTGCAAACTCCAGCAAAACACATTTTCATTAAATTGATTGTGATTACTCATGAAGGGAAAAGCATAAAAAGTAATTATAATGTGTATTAGGTATTAGGGCAAGTTGGATTGCTTTATAGATTAAGCTAGGTACTACTTAATTGAAATTTGCATGTGTAACTTAAGAAGAAACACACAGGTTAAAATGGATATTGTCATCATTTTCTCCAAAGCAATCTTGTAACTCAACTACTTCCATGACATAGGAAAGCCATCTAAGTGGCAAGGACATAAATTTCCAACTTGGAACAAACCCAGCAGCAATGAATATGCTTTGTCCATTCATGTATAGTGTTAAAATACCACCACTCTTCATAAAAAACCAAGCACCACTCACCATTTCAGTGGTGAGTACCACCAGTCAATTCTGCTATAGTCAAGCACTTTGGGAAACTGTCCACTGGAGCAAAAACCAGACTATTTGATTCGTGCCTTTAGAATTGTTCTGAGTCAAGAAAACTGGCACTCAAAGATAAAACCTAAATATTTTTCAACAGCTATTATGCTTAAAATTTGAGGCTTTCCAATCATTCTGATATTTAATTGTAAACTTAGCTCAAGAGCAGGTATGTTCTACTAACTACTTTGTTGAGAAACCCAGCACAAAGAAATTCAAGAGAGTTGGCACAGAATATGTGAAGTCCATGAAAATAATATTTCCCATATCTAAGTCAAAAGCCTGTCATTCTTTTAAACACTGAATACCATTTCCAAAATATTCAGTGAAGTGGCAGAAATTTCATCATTGTCATTTATTAGCTCTGTACAATATACACAGAATCATCAAATATGCTCAGTTAGAAGGGACCCACAAGGATAATTGAGTCCAACTCCAGGCCCTGCACAGGACACCCCAAGAGTCACACCACATGCCTGAGAGTGTTGTTGAAACATGTGTTGAACTCTGGCAGGCTTGGTCCTGTGACCTCTGAATATTTCCAGTCTTCTAAACTGGGACAGACTCTGCTCTCACTTGAGATTGCTTTTTAGCATTTTAAAACTCTGTCAAGAAGATTTAAGAGACACTGTGGAAGGAGAGGAAAAAATAACAACTGAGTTTGCTCTGTAAATCTGTTCTTAAAACTCCCATCGGTCTTGAGCAACCCAGGGCTCCTTTCAGCCCCTCTGCAAAACCAGATCCAAACCCTTCCCCCAAGATCCTGAAATTCCTCCAGAGCTGGGAGAAGGATGATGATGGAGGAGGGATGCCCCAGGTGGCAGAGTCCACAGTCCCAGAGCTCCAGGCCCTGGAGGTGTCCTGGTGCCGGGACATGATCCCCAGGCAGTGCCGCTCCATGGAGTGCAGGGTCGGGGAGGCCACACGAGTGATGGGACCGGAGGCACCCAGGGGATCGAGGTCCCTGATTTGGACATAGTGCAGGGCACCGTGGGGTTCTTTTCAGTAACTTGGATTCAACAAAATACATGAACGTGAACCATAATCAACAGAAAAACTGAACTATATAAACTGAATCTATAACCAAACCCGCTCCTCAGTGTGTCCCCCAGAAGAAACACACAATAGGGATTAGAAAAGGATAAGACCAATTTTCTGGAATTGCTGAAAACCCTTGCCTTACACTACAAACCAGAACCATTTTTTTTCTTTTTAATTCTGAGATGCTTGGTTTTCTTTTGCTATTAAATAGGCCTTAAACTTGCTCAGGCAACTTCTCATAGTTACAGGTTTGGTTTGTGCTATTACTGAAAAAGCACTGGAGTTTTTAGCTCCGTTCAAGGCAGTTTCAATGTGGCAGTGCAGTATTATGTCTCAACCTATACAACCATGCATTATATTGTATTATTATGTCTTCCTTACCCATTATACTTTCCATGTTTCCAGGAAAGAGAGCTTCTCTAACAATGATAAATACTCTGGTGAAAAGAAAATGCAAAGCTAGGAAGTGTTAAGACTCGAGGCATCACTCAACCTACTTTTCTTTCTGATGGACAATTCATGATCCAAAAATTCATTATACACTTCATAGTCTACTTTCAGTACAGGGTTCTAAGTCTGTGATAAAGAAATTTCCTTACACAACATTCATAGAAACCATCTTCCTATAAGAAACCTCAAGAATGCAATGTGATCTTTACAACTTCTCCTCCTCAGTAAGAGAGCAATGGCAACCCAGTAGAACTCAAAGAACAACTATTCCCCTGAGAGCGTAAATCTTATTTGCACATATTCTAGAGAATTTGTCAGCATTTTCCAATGGCACACTGCATATGTATATAAAAAAACTCTATTACTGGGACAACAACAGAGACTTAGAAAATGAAATCACCTATTTTTATTGGTATTTCTTAGCTTAGAATTCCAAAATCTCTTTTGACCATTCTATCTTTTCATGTCTAAAATAACTGCAGGGGAGTTTGCTTCATAGCCTAGAACGTCTATTACCTGAATCTTCCAAATTTCGTACAGTCATATGTATCAAAATTCCTATTAATGCTTGACTGATAAGTATTTCTATAAGGTTTTGACTTTTCAGTCTTTCATATTGAAAGACTGGAAAAATACTTCAACAACGTAAGACGCTTTCATTTACTTTCAAATGAATTTACATTCTCAGCTACTTCTTGTCTCACTACAATTACTCTCCAAATGAAGTAAAAAAAAAGGTGGTGTAACTGACTGATATTCCCTGCAAGTTTGAACTGCATTCTTGTTGGGTTACCTCACCTTCTCCTTCCCTTATAAAAAAGAAGTTTCCTGTATCCTCACATCTTTGAATAGCCTTCATAATGGAAAACTGATTGATTTTCTGTTTCTGCTATGATTCTATTTCAGAAGTCAGCCCCTCAGTAATGACTTAATTTTCTTGTCATGTATAATTTTCTGTAAAGCAACTGTTTGCAAATCTTCTCCCATCTTTCTTCACCATCAGATATTATTGGTTTTCACAGCTCATTGCAGATAGAAGCATTATAGTATAATGCTAATCTATTTTACGAACAGAGTACTGAATTCAGTTAATGCACAATCACTGAATAAAAATTCACTGTTTCTTTCTGCATGAAG